ATATAAAGTATATATTTACATATGTATATAAATACATGATAAATTAATAAATAATATAAAGATTTATAATAAATAGTTCATTTATTTTTAATATTTAAAATTATTGATAAAAACAAGTTACATTTTATATTTTTATGATTTTGGCGGATGCTTTTATTCAAAGCAAAAGGTTACCATTTCTATTTGTATACAATATAGTTATATATAAATAGATATTATATATATTATATATTTATGATAAATAAATAAATATTATACAATTTATATTGCACACTCACCAGGCATAAGACAAGACGTCCTGTTTTTAGATGCGCTGCACTCCTTCAAAGCCACTGTGTAATCGCTCTGTTTCGCACAGCTCTGACTGACCAGCTACAGGAACAAAAGGAAAGATCAATGAATTGCTCAGCGTAATAATGATTAAGGTGGAATCACAAAAACAAAGGTCTCACCTTAAACTGTTTCTCCAGGCGGGTCTTTCCTGTAGGTCCCGGTGTGAGGAGATCAGACACATACGTGTGAATGTGACTGGATGAGACCAGAGTCGCTTTACTCCTGATGGCCTCCACTAGAGCATCATGGATGAAGATGTACTGCTCCTGCTCGCACACAAATATGATGGATGTTTTATGTTGCGTGTGACGTGACAACCTAAGGTATGTTTTGAAATAATATATGTTGGCAAACCTCAGTCTGCACCAGATAGTTCCTCTGGGTCCGAATGTGTTTGAGGAATCCCATGATGTTCACTGTACTTTCCTCCTTTATCTGCTTCAGCATGCTGTCGATCACAATGTAGGTTCCTGTTCTTCCCACACCGGCACTAAAAATCACACATTCAAACATGTTAAAATGACATCTTGATGTATGTCGCCATTATAAATTCTTACTTCAATTAAAGTCAAGTGACCTTTATTTATATTTGTGCTGTATTTAATACTATTTCAGCAGTAAAACAGCTCTAAAAGAAGAATAGTGTCCTTATTCAACTTTGTTTGATTCAGTGTTAATTAAAATTAGTTAAATAACTAAAATTTACATCTTGCAATTCGGAATTCCGAGTTTCCATCCCGCAATTCGTACTTTTTTTTCTTGGAATTTTGAGATTACATGTCATGTTTTTAATTTTTTTTCTCGGAATTCTGAGTGTACATTTTTCTTGGAATTCTGAGTTTACATCTCGCTATTCTTACTGTTTTCTTGGAATTCTGAGTTTACATCTCGCAAGTCTTACTGTTTTCTTGGAATTCTGAGTTTACAT